CCAAAATCGCTTCGACTTTGCTCTAATTTTGTTGGCTTCTTTCTTGTCTTCCGGTAAGACGCCGTCTTTTAAGAATAGTATGATGGGATCCATCCATGAGGGACCTAGGTCGGCGCAACATACCTCTTCTGCTTCGGGGTCTTCAATGCTTGGTCTTGGTAGGTAGTCAATTAGTAGTGGATGAGAGATGGATGTATCTGCCATTGACGCAAAGCCTGCTAGTTCGTCTGCTCTGCTATTTTCCTCCCTGCCAATCTGTTCTATCCTTACTACTTCAAATTTCTTGATCTCTGTTCTGACCAATTCTTGGTACTTGGCCATCCTGTCATCTTTTGCTTCATTGTCGCCAGAAATTTGGTTTACCACCAACTGTGAGTCGCTGTAGACCATTAATTCGGTGGCCTTCATGTAGAATGCTGATTTGAGTCCTGCAAGAAGTGCTTCATACTCCGCTTCGTTGTTTGATGCTGGGAAGCCAAGGTTGATTGCTTGCTCCACAACCAAGCCGTCTGCTGAGATGAGGACTATGCCAAGTCCTGCACCATGCCGGTTGGATGCTCCATCCACAAAGAGTTTCCACATCTCACCAACGAATAACTTCTAGCAAGTGGAGGGGTCAGATGATGTCGTGGGGTCAAGAATGTTGCTGGTGTTTTCTTCAAGGTCCATGCTTGCTGTCTGCCCCTCGCTATCTGATTGTACCAAGTCTTTATTTGTTGGTGAGTCTTGGCTCGGTGTAGCATGGTTTGCTTCTTCCTTGCTATCTTTATTCTGGTCTGCCTTGGGGTCTGACTGAATATCCTGCACCAGGGGTTGCGTTATTCCGGCGTCAACTTCTATCCCTGGTTTGGTTGTATCAGTCAGGTCGACTGGGCAGATATGATGACTTCCAGGAGTGAATTCTGCGACAAAGTCTGCCAAAGCTTGGGCCTTTATCGCGGTTCTGGGATGGAACTTGATGTCGAATTGTCCCAACTCTACTGCCCATTTCAAGATTCGCCCAGAAAAGTTTGCCCTCTCAAACAAAGCTTTTAATGGGAAAGCTGTGAGGACGACTATGGTGTGGGCGTGAAAGTAGTGCGATAACTTTCTCGAGGCCATCATCAAGGCTAATGCCAGTTTTTCTAGTGGCAAATACATTGTTTCGGCACCCAGCAATGTCTTACTGACATAATAGATGGGCAGATGTTGGATTCCTTCCGCACGAACTAACACTGCGCTAATTGTGTGCTGAGAGACTGCCAGGTACAGGAAGAGTTCTTCTCCAGGTATTGGGGTTACCAGTAGTGGTGGAGAAGACATGTATTCTTTCAAACTTTTCAGAACGCGGTCGCATTCTTCGTCCCACTCGAACTTAGCTTTTAATGCTTGAAAAAACGGTTGTAGTCTGTCTGACGACTGGCTAATGAATCGGTTGAGTGCAACTACCATGTCGGTGAGATGCTGTACTTCTTTTACTGAGTTAGGCCTCTCCAGATCCTGAATAGCTTTGATCTGGGAGAGGTCTACTTCTATACCCCGGTTGGTCACCAGGAAGCCTAGGAATTTGCTAGATCCTACACTGAACGCGCACTTAGATGCATTAAGGCGCAACTTGTGCCTCTTCAAAATCTGGAACATCTCACCTAGGTCCCTTAGATGGTCGTTCTCGTCCTTGCTTTTGACTACCATATCGTCGATGTAAGCTTCCATTGTTTTGCCTAACAGTGGTTCAAACATCTTGGTGACCATCTGTTGGAATGTTGCCCCTGCATTTTTTAGGCCAAAGGGCATGACCATGTAGCAATACAGTCCTCTTGGAGTTGTAAAGGACGTGACCTCCTGGTCTAGTTCGTACATGGCGATCTGATGGTAGCCTTTGTACGTATCTAGAAAGCTAAGTCGATTGTGCCCCGCTGTTAGGTCTACCAATTGATCTATCTGTGGTAGGGGGAAGCTGTCCTTTGGGCATGCTTTGTTGACTGTCTTATAGTCGATACAGACACGCCATTTGCCATTCTTCTTTGGTACCACGACTGTGTTGGAAATCCATCTGGGGTAGTGCACCTCTCTGATAGCTCCTGCCTCTAGCAGATTTCCCACCTCTTCCGCCACTATCTCGGCGTGGTGGAGTGCCGATCTGCGAGTGCGCTAAATGATTGGTCTGGCAGATGGGTGGACATTGAGTTGGTGACAGATGAAGTTTGGATCAATGCCTGGCATGTCGTAGGGTGTCCAGGCGAACACTTCGATGTTAGAGGTCAAGAATTCCAAGGCCTCTAATCTCTCAGTGCTGGACAACGACGAACCGAGCAAAAAGAACTTATCCGGGTTCTTTTCATCTATTCTTACCTCTACCAAATCTTCCACCGCTTTTTGATCAGCTGTTCTGTCGGCATCTGCGAATAGTTCATTACTCTCAGGTTCTTCCACCGAATGAACATATCCCTTGGCAACACGGTTGCCATTAGCCGTGACAAAGCATTGCTTGGACATAATCTGGTCTCCAAAGACCTCTTCAATTACTTCGGTTCCGTTGGGGAACCGCATTACTTGATGGTAGGATGATGCTACTGATTTCATGGCATGGAGCCATGTTCTTCCCAAGATTATGTTGTAAGTGGAAGGGACTTTCAATACTCAAAATTCCACTTGTTTTGTCACGTTTCCTGCTCTGACTGGTAGTATAATTTTGTCGACTGGCCATTCTGGCATTGAATTGAATTCGATCAGAGGGGATACAGCCGGTGCCAAGTCTTTGTCCTTCAATTTCAGTTGTTTGAAGGTGTCGTAGTATATTATCTCACACGAGCTACCTTGGTCTATTAGAATTCGCTTGGCGTCATAGTCCTTGATGCGGAGGGTGACGACCAGTGCATCATTGTGGGGGCAATATATTCTTTCCAAGTCCTTGTCTGAAAAAGACATGACGTTCGTGGCTTCTGTTCTCCCCTTTTTGATGGTAGGTTGGGCACTTAGTACCTCCCTCAAGTGCTCAGCCTTCTTGATCGATCCTCTGAGCTCGCATACACGCTCAGGTTCGAATACCCCATGTATCACATTGATCACACCTTGAGGTGGGGCGTCAATTGGCATTCCATTGGGGTTATTGTGGTCCTAGGGGGCTGGTTGTGTCCCTCCTTCAATGTATTTATCCAAGTGACCAGCTGCCACCAACTCCTCCAGATGTTGTCTCAATGGCATACAATTTTCAGTGCGATACCCCTTTTCTTTGTGGAAGGTGCATCGTGACCTTTCGTCATAGTCTTTCTGTGCTTATCCAAGCTTAGCTGGCCATCTGACAAAAGGTTCATCGCATATTTCACTCAGAATCTGGTAGATCGGTTTCTTGAATACCGTGGTTATGGCAGTGCAGACTCTCAACCATCTTTTATCTTGGTCCTCTCCGTTGTCTAGACCTGCCTCGTCCGTTTTTGTTCGGACGTTCTACCACGTTGATCTTTGCTGTGGTCTTCTTATCTGGTACTGCGGTCGTGCCAGATTTTGTTTTGGCACGGGCGCCATCCTCTTCCACCCTGATGTGCTGATGCACTCTTTCTATCAAGGCCTCCATGGTGAGGGGCGGTGTCATAGTGATTGAGTCCCTTAGTCTGTTTCCGACTGGAAGGCCTCTTTTGTACTGTGCAATGGCGAGATTGGTGGGGCAGTCCCATTTTAGATACAAATAACAAGATACACTTAAAAAGTAAATATTTATGAAATTTTTTTTAACAATTTAATAATACCAAAAATACAAAAAGAAAAAAAAACTAAGATTCAATATAATTTCATATTTGTGTATTTATTAATTTTTAAATTTTTTTTTAAAATATTTTTACTTTTTAGATACATCTAAGTAGATACATCTAAAAAAAAATATTTAAATTTTTAAAAATATTCACTAAAATAAAAAAAAAAAATATGAAAAATTAAAAAATTAATTTAAACAAAGTAAATTCAAAAATTAAAACCAAACACAATAAATAATTTGTACGATATAAATATTGTGTACGGTATTGGAGCTCCGCGATTATGATGCTATTTAAACTAATTTCCCTATTGAATATATCCACAGGACTTATAACGAAGTTCAGGAGAACAATGGACAAAATAGTGACAGTGCTTTTTGAGTAGTCACAATGGTACATTTGTTACAACAAAAATATTTTGGAGTTCTAATTTGTGAGCTTTAATAGCTCTAATGAGAGATGGGCCTCAGTGTGATGAGATGTTTGACCTTGGTTTTTTTTTCTTTTTTGAGTTGCTCGCCTCAGTAAAGCTCTATTTAAAACTATATTTTAGAAGCTACCAATCAGTTGTTGTGTAATAAATCCTAATAAAGTACTGACTGCACATTTTCTGCCAATGATGATTTTATTTCAGAAATAAACCTATGGCAGAAGTGCCGGCAATAATGCATGGAGATTTTAAGCTGTTCGAGAGGATATATACATTTTCAGATGAACTTGTTAAGGGTGGATTACCAATCATTTGTTGTCATGTCCGGTGTTGATCTTTGAAGTGTCTATTTGTTTATGTATTTTTCATGCCCTATGATCTGTTTAGAGAGTGTAGTATTAAGTACCCCCTGCTAGATTTGATGTATATTTTTGTTATGAGCAGATCTATGATAACTTCATCTTTTTATTTTTTCAGTATTGATGTATCGGTTTGGAATCCTTGTTGTTTAGGAATATATGATAAATAGTGGTACTATTTATCTTATTATATTATTGAAAACATAATCACCAACAAACCAATTACTTGCAATGTATGTATGTATGCATGAAAACAATTTGGTACACATCATTAATAGTTGAGTGTTATTATGAGTTCGGGGCTATTTGATATAGCTTTTAAGAGGTGATTATAATTTATTGGGCAGAAATAACTTAAATGAACTAAAAATACTGATTATTTGAAAGATAAAGAAGGGTTGCTTTTACTTATGCTTTTTGATTATTAGCTTTTAGTTTAAAAAGCTCCACTAAACATGGTATAGCACCAAATAAGCTTGTGTGCACATTATGAGGTTAGAGCAAACATATGCCGCAAGAATCCACCTTCTTTTCTTCATTTAAAGAAAGAAAAAAAAAAGAAAAAATCCATTTTTGACTTAAATTCAGTTATGTTTGCCTATTGCCTCCTTGGTTTTTGGTTAGTTTAAGTTTTCTTTGGATATTTATCTGTAGTATTGGACTGTAGATTTTAATGACCCAAGGTATATTCAAGAATAAAAATGTTATGATTACATGCTGCACAATGTGTTTTCTGTTACTGGCGTACGTCTCTATTGAATGATGTTTAACCACTTTTCCTCTGTAGTGTTCTAGTTTCACTTTGAATCATTGATATATATGATTGTTGGTCATTGATGGATGGATCTATAAATTTTTAGGTATAATGCTATCTTATGTTATACGTGTTGACTGTCTGAGAACCTAATTACTTATTAGTACTATTTATAATTTCTTGTCATACCTCATGGTTTTAGCATTGTGGTGACTCTTGTGGGGTTTGATGTGTTTTGCAGTCATGCAATTCTCAGATATCTTGCTTGTGCATTTCCTGAGTTGCAGATCATTGGTGAGAATAGTTACTTCCTTTTGGTTTTGTAGTTATTATGCATGTCCACTTTCAGCTGTGGTCTTGTAGTTATTGTCTATATTTGGTGTTATATACATATTCTGCAGCCTGTTCTTAACAAATTTTCTTGTTCATTCCTAAAGGTATCCAACTGATTCTCATCAAAAAGAGCTAAGATTGACTCAGTGCTGGATTGGCATCACTCCAATCTACGCCGTGGTGAAGGTGCCCCCATGATATTCTTTACTTTTTTTTATATCATAAATTGACAGTTGATAGTTTTGGAGCAACAGTAAATGTGCTTTTATACAACTCTCTAGTGATTTTTTGGTTAAAATGTTTTTTGTAAATGATCAGTGCATCTTCAAGTACCTATGAAAAATATCCCCCGGATAGATTCCGTTATGTTTGTTACATTTTATGTGTAAACATAGGATTTCTGCAAAGATTTTTCTTTTCTTGCCTGGTCATCTATCGTTGTGCTCCTCTGTTGAAGTCCTAAATTTCTTCATCAATTTTTAAGCAATTGGTTTAACAATTTCATCTCCCTTTTCCTCTCAGTTTCTAAATATCATTCCAATAGATAACATAGTTACTTTTTATGTGTTGGTTGATAATAATATTAGACTCGGCAATTTGTGTGTGTGCGTGCACGCACATCAGTCAGCAATGATCCAGGAAACAACATTTGTTTCAATTTAAGTAATTATTTTTTTGGTTTAGCAATTCCGTGTTCCTTTTTCCTTTCAGTACTTAAAGGTCTAATTTTATGCTTTTCCTTTTCAGTGACCACTGGTTCAAAATACTGCACTTGCAACATACTTGGCCGTCAACCAGGTCCACATGTAGTTCCCGAAGCTGAGAAGCTTTTGTCTGCATCTCTCGAAAAGATTGAGACATTTTGGCTTAAGGAAAATGGGCAGTTTTTGCTGGGAAACTCCCAGCCATCTATAGCAGATCTCAGCTTGGTCTGTGAAATTATGCAACTAGAGGTGAATGGATTTAATCTATGTTGGCAACTTGGTATCGATATTTAGTACGTTTGTGTGTGTTTGCGTCATGTATAGATGGAGAAATTTATCAAGTTGGAATTCACCTAGCCAAATTATATAGTATATTAAGAAAAAAAACGTTCTGCTTTTGAAGGTTAGAAGAATTATAAGATCGATGGTTGAAGCCATTGAAAAACAAGAATATTAGGCCCGCACAAGAAAGGAGGAAAATTATTGTAAGATCTCATTATTAAATAAAAAGTTACTATAAAATCTTTTGGATTCAGTTATGGAAGAGGGAGGATCGCAATCGAATATTACGCCACACAAGAAAGTTCAGGCAGTGGATCGAAGATAACAAAGCTTGCAACAAGACCTCATTTTGAGGAAATTCATGGAGTCCTCTATCAAGTCAAAGCAAAGCTACAAAAGCAGCGGTTGTTGGGAGCAAATACTGAGACCTAGTCTGGCTTATAAAATGCATTGCAGTCCAAGGGTGAAAACACTCTTACTAATATATGTTATAAATCTGTAATATTCCCTTTGAGTGCCCTTGTCGCATTGTGATATCTAATAAGGGCAGGCACAAACATAAACACTGATGTGCTTAGAACTTATACTCTGTTGTGAGATTTGTAATAGTACCTCTCAGGGTTGAATCAACATGCTATCAATAATGTGATTTGTGGAAATTTGTGTATCTCTATGAAAGTCCCCAACCCCAAGTACAGGAACATTTTCTAAGGATGAATTTGGGGTAGTGCCTAGAAAAGAGTTTGTGATTTATTTGAGATCATATTACATTTTTACTTTTTGCACTTTTTTTTTTATATAATAAATAAGCAAAATTAATTTTAAAAACACTTTCCAAAACAACTTTTTGGCAAATTGAAAAAAAGTCACCTCTTTTTCTGACAAAATAAACCAAAAAATATTGTTATTTTTAGAATTTTTTTAGAAATTTTAAAAAATTATAAATTTTTGGTTGTCTTGTCAAACTAAATCTAGAAATTTAAATTTTTCTAAACAATTTCAAATTTTTTTTTGAAAATCAAAATAAGTAAACCCCAAAACAAAGTTCAAATCAGGAAACTAGTCGAAATGTGTACTGAGAGGGGAATTTATATGTAGATTGGGCCGAGTTGGGCCGTTGTGGGCCTCAGTGCGAAAGGTTGAATAAAAATGCCATAAAGTTACTCCGGTTCCAAAGAGGTTAGCTTGGTCACCATACTAAAACTTGTACCGGTTGTCGCAGTATGGCAAGTTTTGGTCGCTACAGTTAGTTCGGTCATGCGATAGGGAACCAAAGTATACTGAGCCTCTTCAGGACTTGGTTTGGTTAGTTCAGCTTAAACTCTTCTTATGGATATCTAGGTTTTGGCATGTGAAGCCGAGGTAGGAGAGAAGCAAGGTAGAGCTGAACTAACAGTTAGATCGGTCACTCCAGTTAGTCTAGCAAGGCAATGTTATTTCGGTTGTATGGTAGTCCGGCCATGGTAAAACCATCTTACTTGGTTTAAACAGTGAGGGGGTGTTGAAGGATAAGCATTATCCTTCAGGAGTATGAATCCTAGGAGGACTCTATGGAGGAGTAAGAGTCCTACTTGGATTGTGCTACACGGAACCTATAAAAGCTCACCAATATCACCTATGGAAGAGGTACACAAACCTGATTCCTGAATATACAGAGCTTTTGTCTGCTTGTCTGTTTTGCTGACTTAGGCATCGGAGGGTTTCCGGCACACACCCACCGGTTAGCTCACGTTTGTGTTTTAGGGAGTTAAAGCGACAACGTTTGGAGGAACGTGGACTGATTAACAGGATTATATGAGAAGGTTTATTTCTTTCCGTACAATTGGCGTCGTCTGTGGGCATTCAGACAAGAACAAAACCTCTTGATCAAGCTTTTCTCTTTAGAAGCGATGGCGCACAACAAAGATTGCCGCAGTCCCCATCGACGGACAAACACCAGAAGGGGATACAAGACGCGAAGGCCTACCTTCTATCCCTTCCATGCGGACCCAGAGCCACAGCGACAAAATCCCAGGAGGGATACAAAGGGGAGGAGGCAGACTAACAGCCCCCGTCACTCTCGTTCACGAAGTCCTGACAGACAAAGCGGAGGATTAATCCTCAAGTTCTGGAGGACAGCGTGAAGGAGCAAGATAAATTAATAAGGAAGATGGCGGCGGACATGGAGGCCATGAAGCGCCAGATGAAGGGAAAATGAGTGACGACAAGAGAGGGTGTGCAAAAGCAAGACGCCCCCGCGCTCAGAAGACCATGGAAGCATTCCATACTATCACAAGCAGAGAGTAGAAGCCTCAGGACAGGCGATACTTAATCCAGAACCTCCAGAACTCGTTACTCCAGGTCTGAGAGAACGAGATCATTGAGGTCTTACATCGAGGGAAGTACCTATCGACCCTCACGCTCGCACCAGACATTATCCAGGCAGACGGAGTTGCCAAGATCGTCCGATTTGCGAACATGCTGGAAGAAAAGGCACGAAAGAAGAGGATACTAAGGCGCGCAACCCTTGCAAGGTATCTACCCTACAACGGTTGGCTCCTCGAACGCATGGAAGCGTCGAGGTCGAATGCCGTTGCCACGCCCTGCCTACGAACCAACGGACAAAGCATTAGCAAGGCTGCAGACCTCGCCGTTCGTTCCGGCAATTGAAAACGCGCCCTTTCCTTCAGGTTTCCTTCAACCCAAATTCACCACGTACGAGGGGAAGACGGACCCTTACATACACCTAAGCCACTTCCGCCAGGTTATGGCGGTATATCGGCGAAACGAGGCTTTGATGTGCATCCTCTTCCCATCAAGCTTGGAGACCTAGGCTTGACTGTTTCGAAAAACTTCCAGAAGGCAGCATAGCCTCCTGGGCACATTAGCGAGGCGTTCGTCACGAGGTTCAGAACGAACACCAAAACCCCAGTGGAGATGACCAATTACTCTCCATCGACATGGGTGAAAAGGAGACACTAAGATCCTACAATAGTCGCTACTGGGGAACATTCAACCATGATT